GCCGCTGCCTCCCCGGGGGGAGCTGCTCCTGCTCCCGCGGGCCCTGTGCCTCCGCTCCGGGCAACCGCTGCGCTTGGCGCTGGCCTGCCGCCGCTGCCAGCAGAAGGGCGAGACCTTTGTCCGCTGGAGCGTGGGCCTGGGCTCCTCGGCGGCCGAGATGGAGGCGCTCTGGCGGTCGGAGGGCGGCTCGCCCGGCCACGGGAAGGGCCGGCGGAGGAAGCGCAACGTCAACTCCAGCCCCCAGTTCCAGATGCCCACCTACCAGGTCTCGGTGCCGGAAAACCGGCCGGCGGGCACCCCGGTGATCTTACTGCGGGCTCTCGACCCGGACGAGGGCGAGTGGGGCCGCTTGGACTACTCCATGGATGCTCTCTTTGACAGCCGCTCCAACAGCTTCTTCGCGATTGACCCCCGGACGGGGGCCGTGTCCACGGCTGAGGAGCTGGACCGGGAGACCAAGAGCACCCATGTGTTCCGGGTGACGGCGACCGACCACGGGGTGCCACGCCGCACGGCGCTGGCCACTCTCACGATCACCGTCAGCGACACCAACGACCACGACCCCATCTTTGAGCAGCAGGAGTACAAGGAGAGCATGCGGGAGAACCTGGAGGTGGGCTATGAGGTGCTGACGGTGAGAGCTACGGATGGAGACGCCAGCCCCAACGCCAACATCCTCTACCGCATCTTGAATGCCAACGGGGCCAACAAAATCTTTGAGATTGACCCCAAGTCCGGCGTCATCCGCACCAATGGGCTGGTGGACCGAGAAGCTGTTGAGTCCTACCAACTGATAGTGGAAGCCAACGACCAAGGCAAAGACCCGGGCCCACGCAGTAGCACGGCTACCATCCACATCACAGTGGAGGATGACAATGACAACTCGCCTCAGTTCAGTGAGAAGCGCTATGTAGTTCAGGTACCTGAGAATGTGGCATCCAACACCCACATCCTTCGGGTCAATGCGACAGACCGGGACAAAGGCAGCAATGCTCTTGTGCATTACAGCATCATGAGTGGCAACACCCGGGGACAGTTCTACATTGATGCCCAGACGGGTAACATTGATGTCGTCAGCCAGCTTGACTACGAGATGAATAAGGAATACACCCTGCGAATTAGAGCCCAAGATGGTGGAAGGCCTCCTTTGTCCAACATCAGTGGACTAGTGACCATCCAGGTCCTGGACGTCAATGACAATGCCCCCATCTTTGTCAGCACCCCTTTCCAGTCCACGGTACTGGAGAATGTGCCCGTGGGCTACTCTGTGATCCACATCCAAGCCATTGATGCGGATTCTGGGGAGAATGCACGACTGGAATATGCCCTGGTTGACATTAGCCCTGATTTCCCTTTTGCTATTAATAACAACACTGGCTGGATTGTGGTGGCCTCTGAATTGGATCGTGAGGCTGTGGACTTTTACAACTTTGGCGTTGAGGCCCGAGACCATGGTAACCCGTCCATGACCTCTTCAGCCAGTGTCAGCATTACCATTCTGGATGTCAACGATAACAACCCTGAGTTCACTCAGAAGGAATACAGTGTGAGGCTCAATGAAGATGCTGCTGTGGGCACCAGTGTTCTTACTGTTTCTGCTATTGACCGGGATGTGAACAGTGTCATCACCTACCAGATTACCAATGGGAACACTCGCAACCGCTTTTCCATAACTAGCCAGAGTGGTGGTGGTCTCATCACTTTGGCTCTACCTTTGGATTACAAACTGGAGCGCCAATATTTGCTTACCATCACAGCTTCTGATGGCACTCGGCTTGACACGGCCCAGGTCTTTGTTAATGTGACTGATGCCAACACACATCGGCCAGTGTTCCAGAGTTCCCATTATACTGTTAACATCAATGAGGATAGGCCTGTAGGCACCACTGTAGTAATCATTAGTGCCACAGATGAGGATACAGGGGAGAATGCCCGTATCACTTACTTCATGGAAGACAGCATCCCTCAGTTCAAGATTGATATGGACACTGGGGCTGTCACTACCCAGATGGAGCTGGATTATGAGGATCAGGTATCCTACACGTTGGCAATTACAGCCCGGGATAATGGTATCCCACAGAAATCAGACACCACCTATCTGGAGATACTAGTCAATGATGTGAATGACAATGCACCTCAGTTCTTAAGAGATAATTACCAAGGTTCTGTATATGAGGATGTCCCAGCCTTTACTAGCGTCTTGCAGGTTTCTGCCACAGACAGAGACTCTGGGCTGAATGGGAGGGTGTTCTACACCTTTCAGGGTGGGGATGATGGTGATGGAGACTTCATCATTGAATCCACTTCAGGCATTGTTAGGACTTTGCGCAGACTGGACCGGGAGAATGTTCCATTGTATGAACTTAGGGCCTATGCTGTTGATAAGGGTGTGCCAGCCATGAGGACACCTATTGATGTCCATATCACTGTTCTGGATGTCAATGATAACCCTCCTGTCTTTGAGCAGGATGAGTTTGATATCTTTGTTGAAGAGAACAGCCCTATTGGTTTGGTGGTGGCCCGGATCACTGCCAGTGACCCAGATGAAGGGACCAATGCTCAGATTATGTATCAGATAGTGGAAGGTAACATTCCTGAGGTCTTCCAACTCGACATCTTCTCAGGAGAGCTGACAGCATTGATGGATTTGGATTATGAGGCCAAGTCTGAGTATGTCATTGTGGTCCAAGCTACTTCAGCACCACTGGTAAGCCGGGCTACAGTGCACGTCCGTTTGCAGGATAAGAATGACAACATTCCTGTCTTGAAAAATTTTGAGATCATCTTCAACAACTATATTACCAACAAGTCCAGTAGTTTCCCCACGGGTGTGATTGGCAAGATCCCAGCCTATGACCCTGATGTCTCTGATACTCTTACCTATAGTTTTGAGCAAGGCAATGAATTGAATCTGGTGCTCCTGAACCACAGTACAGGAGAGCTACGTTTGAGCAGGGCCTTGGACAACAACAGGCCTTTGGAGGCCATCATGAGAGTTTCTGTCTCAGGTAAGGTCATGAAAGTATCACTGTGAACATGGGTTCAAATCATTATGTTGATGGCTTGAAGAAACTTTAAAAGCTGTCCACTCCTTGTCTTATTTGTTCTAGCCTAGCTCGAATCCAGAATTTATGACAGTCTCTTTTAAGAAAAAGCTAACTGTTTGCTTGATTTATTTAGTGATGCAATAAAAGTAGGTCCTGCTCTTGCATTTGTATTACTTTTAAGAAATGGAATCTAATTGCAATTGAAACTTTTTCTGGTGGGGAATTAACTGTAAAAAAAAAAAAACTGTTAATGCAAGTTTTGCAATTATATGTAACCTGCTGTTTAGTATTAGTAAGCACCTATCTGATAGTCTCCTGTCTAAGTTGTCTTTTGGAACAGTAAGTAGTGTTGTGGCACTCTGCAGTTGATAGAGACTGCTAAATAGTGGCCACATGGCAGATAGGTCTTGTGTGTGCTGCTCCAGCTGGCTGCTCCACTCTTTGCTTTAAGACAACAGCTGAAGCTGCGGTGTTTCTTCTTCTGCACCTCCACAGGCTTCCACTTTTCCAGCCAAATAATCTTATCCCTCCTCCCTAATCTTCCTTTTGAATGGAATCAATCAGTTGGAGCTAACTTCATACAAAACTGACTTTCCTTGTATGCAAGTTAGGTGTGTGATGATTTGAGGGCAGTGCAGTGGGCCTTGTCTTCAAGACAGTATGGCTGTGATAGAAGAATGGCACAGTAAGTGTATCCCATGACCAGTCATTTGTATGACGGAGCTGACCTTTTGGGTTCTGAAATTATACTCATCAGTCTTTGGAGGGTGGGAGAAAGGACTCACCTGTATGACGGAGCTGACCTTTAGGGTTCTGAAATTATGAGTCTTTGGAGGGTGGGAGAAAGGACTCACTGTTGTTGCCTTGGAAATCATTTTGTCAGTGCAGTGAGGCTGTCCTTGGTATCTCCATGTCTTTGCTACAGGACATGCACCCACAGTATAGAGGCTGATGAAATAAACTCATGCAGCTGGCAGTTTGTTAGCCTTTATTTTGTCACAGGACTTTCTGTTTTCATTGCAACTGACAGAACACCATATAATTGGAGTTAGTGCCTGTGGTTGGTATGGTTTGGGGAAAACCAGTAAGTGGAGTTGAAGACTAGTTTGGCTCATGATAAGAGTACAGTCCCTTTAATTATCTTTTTCACTTTGCCTCTTTAGTAGGGCTCTCTAAACTACCACTTTGCAATTAAATTAAATTATATGTCATTGTTGTGTTGTACAGCTTTGTAGATGCACAGTCAGGTGAACACCAACTGAGATAGTTCCATATAACTAACAGAATAATGGTAAGGGTGGAATATAGAACATGTGGTCCTCCAGATATGTTGAGCTACAGCTCCCATTATCTCTAGCCAGCATCATCAATAGTGTGGACTGATGGTAGTTGCATCCAACAATATCTGGAGGCAACATGTTCCCCATTCCTGGGCTAAAGAGGGCTCCTTCTCATAGAATCAAGGCTGTGCAGAAGAGCCAGTACTAAAAATTCAGGACTGGGGCTTTTGATGAAGGCTGCAGTGTTTGCCTATGGCAGAAATACTAAGAATGTCTGAGGATTTGCTTATGTGTAACCTTTAAATAAATGAGACGCAGTGGCGCTGCAGGTTAAACCACAGAAACCTCTGTGCTGCAAGGTCAGAAGACCAGCAGTCGTAAGATCGAATCCACGCGACGGAGTTATCTCCCGTGGCTTGTCCCAGCTCTTACCAACCTAGCAGTTCGAAAGCATGTAAATGCAAGTAGATAAATAGGTACCACTATGGTGGGAAGTTAACGGCGTTCCGTGTCTAGTTGTGCTGGCCACGTGACCATGGAAACTACAGACAAATGCTGGCTCTACAGCTTGGAGACAGGGATGAGCACTGCGCCCTAGAGTCAGACACGACTGGACTAAATGTCAAGGGGAAACTTTACCTTTATGTAACCTTTAAATTCCCCTTCACGGATTGCTGTCTTGTCATGGCGAAGGGGCTTGAATAATTCAGAGAAGCTATGGGCTATGCTGTGCAGGGAGACCCAAGATGGACAGGTCATAGTGGAGAGTTCTGACTAAATGCGATGCACCTGGAGCAGGAACTGGCAAGCCACTCCAGTATCTTTGCCAAGAAAACTCCATGGACAGAAACAAAAGGCTAAAAGATATGATGCTGGAAGGTGAGCCCCTCAGGTCAGAAGGTGTCCAACATGCTACTGAGGAAGAGCAGAGGACAAGTACAAGTAGCTCCAGAGCTAATGCAATGGTTGGGCCAAAGTCGAAACGACGCTCAGCTGCACCTGGAAGTGAAAGGAAAGTCTGATGCTGCAAAGAAAAATGCTGCAGAAACCTGGAATGTGAGATCTATGAACCTTGGTAAGGTGGATGTGGTCAAACAGGAGATGGCAAGAATAAACATTGACATCCTGGGCATCAGTGAACTAAAATGGACAGGAATTGGGGGAATTCAATTCAGATGATTATCATATATACTATTGTGGGCAAGAATCCCATAGAAGAAACGTAGTAGCCCTCATAGTCAACAAAAGAGTGGGAAAAGCTGTACTGGGATACAATCCCAAAAATGATAGAATGATTTCAATACAAATCCAAGG